CGGTTGAGTAGTCGAACGGTCGAGTGGTCGAGTGGTCGAGTGGTCGAGCGGTAGAGTGGTCGAGAGGTCGAGTGAGCGAGCGGTCGAGCGGTTGACAGTTCGAGGGGTCGAGAGGTCGAGTGAGCGAGCGGTCGAGTGAGTGAGAGAGCGGCTCACACACACGCGCAATGAAAACGGTGCGAGTTCAATCCCCGGTGGCTTCCGGACGAGGAGGCCCGTGTAGGGATCTTGGCTGCTGTCAGTGCCCGATGCGAGCAAGTTCCTCTCGCTGCTGTCACGTTATCTTGAGAGATATAACGGATGGGCGACGTTTGAGGCAATGGCCCTTCCCCTCCCTCCCCCTCCCTGATAGTACGTAAATAAATACAAATGATCTTCTTTGGTTCTTTCGGTAAAGTCCCGACAGGTCTGTACCTTTCACCTGAAGACGGCCGCTTGCGTTGTGGCCGAGACGTCGTGAGAATTTTATCGTGTTATTTTATAATTTTATTCTCATTCTACGTGACTTTACCGAAATAACCAAAGAAGGTGAATCCTTGCAGTCACGATAGCTTTAAATCGAAATGCAAATGAGTTGTGTGCTATGGGGTAAGGGTCATTGGCCGAAACGTCACCATTATATATAAATGTATATAACTCGCAACCGGACATACACGTATATATTTTCTATATATAAATCAGGTGACGTTTCGGGTTACGGCCCATCACTGAAATAAAACATAGATGATGATGGACCATTGCCCGGAACGTCGTGTATTATGTATGGGGGTTTTATTTTTAAGGCCACACACGACGTCCTTGACGAATTATGTTTACCGAACACTTTATGGGGGGAAGCCATGGCAATGTGGAATTTCCACCACTAGCACCAACGCCTCGGTTCTGATTTTACGATCGGAACACGTGGGGGTGGGGGGGGGGTGGAGGGGATTTACCTCCACAAATACCAACGTGACATATCGCGTGGTGGTTAAACCTTTTACTACGGTTAACTATTTGTCAGAAGTGAATTCTTGCGCGACATAATTGCCCCTTGGATGCTGCCACAGTGGTGTAATGGTTAGCACGTCGGACTTTGCGATCCAGATGGGCGCGTGCGTTCGATCTCCGTGCGCGGTATTTGAAGGTTTGAAGCATTGGTGCCATCTTTTTGGTTCTTTCTACGTGGTGACTTTACCGAAAGAACCAAGAAGACGAATCCCTGCAGTCACGAAAGCTTTAAATCGAAACACTGGTGCCATGTTCTTACATCTCGCACCAATCCCCACCCACCCAGCCACCACCATAATCTGCCGCGAGCGATGATGTCCTGACACCGACTCACCCGCAACAACGCATCAGTCTTGATTTAAAGCTTTCGTGACTGCAGTAATTCATATTCTTAGCTCTTTCGGTAAAGTCACGTTGAAGGGAAACAATAAAATAATAAAATATATATAAAACAATAAAAATTCTCACGTTTCGACCATAACACAAACGGTCGTCATCAGGTGTGTCGATTCGCATTATTTCATTTTTAACTGGTTATTTATTTATATAAAATACGCCGTTTAAAATAAATAAATTAATGCGAACCGACACTCCTGATGACGACCGTTTGTGTTATGGTCGAAACGTCGTGAGAATTTTTATTGTTTTATATATTTTTTATTATTTTATTGTTTCCCTTCAACGTGACTTTACCGAAAGAGCTAAGAATATAACGCATCAGTCATCTTCACAATCTCGAGGAGTGTAGCAGCAGCTGGACAACCAATTGTGATGTTGGACTGTACTTTATACACCCCCCCCATCACCAAGTCTAAAGTGGGCCGCATTCACCAACCCCGCACTGGCATTGAGAAGGCCTCTCATCCAGCAATGGCGAAGTGCTCAGCTGGTACAGATAAAGGTGCAGCCCTGAAATTCCTTACACATCTGTTGGGACAAGGGCCTCTACTGTTGGACAACAGTGAAAAAAGAGCTTCACAGCTCATCGGATTCCTCTAGTCTACGTAAAGATTTTAAATCACTCGAGGGAGTTCTTGAGAGAGGGAGAGAGAGCCCGGCTAGATGTTGGCTTTTGGCCTACTCTTCCACGCTGGGCAAACGTTTTCGAGTACGCACAAATGTACCCCACTGCACGCGGCATGCCGATCTTTGACGGCAAGTGGTGAGCCCATTCAATGCCGCACTGCTGTGGGGGGCACGGAAGATCGGAGGCGGGGAGTGGAAGGTGGGCGTGCATATCCAGAAACGTGCCCGTCGTTAACAGCTGCCGCGCCTGGAACCGGCCACCCCGTTCTTCCGAGTGCTGCACCCTAGTTTCAGTTTGGGGACTCTGACCCCGGCGTGACCTCCATCAAGGTCGGGCCCCGCCACGCCCCGTCGCGTTCTTGACTCTCTGCGCCCAAAAAAAATGATAATCGTTTCCGCTTGCGGTCGATGGTAAAAATGAGCCGGTCGATAGGTGGCTGAAACGGACCATTCGATATCAATATCGTTTGCGATATAAACTAAACCGCTATTTTTTTTTTCATTTAAACAAAGTAAGTCCCACTGAGCTTTAGTTATAGCTCAGTGGGACATAGCTCTTTATTTTAGAAGAGACCTGGCCGCCACAAATGAAAGCTCAACGAAGCGGCTTATCGTGTGGACGTTTATAGCAGCAAGTCAAAGTCTCTAAAACGCGTGGCGATTCTAAAATGTGGAGGGCAAAACATATCGTCATTTTCACGATATATCATATTGCGATATATCGTCAGTTTCGCGATATATCGTCAGCTTCACGATACATGATTACGATATATCGTCAGTTTCGCGATATATCGTCAGCTTCACGATACATGATTACGATATATCGTCAGTTTCGCGATATATCGTCAGCTTCACGATACATGATTACGATATATCGTCAGTTTCGCGATATATCGTCAGTGTCACTATACATCATTGCGATATATCGTCAATTTCACGATACATCATTACGATATATCGTCAGTTTCACGATATATCGTCAGTTTCACGATATATCGTCAGTTTCACAATATATCGTGTGTAGACAATAACATATCTGCGATAATTGCATCATCCTTTTGCAAAACATCGCGGAATATCGCAAAGCATCGTGGTTATTATCGTTGCTGGTATTATTTTGATGAAATCCTTTAACTCCCTGATAATACAAATATGAATTAGAGAAGAAACTCAATGTTGACTTAAAGCTTTCGTGACTATCTTGATTTGAAGCTTTCGTGACTGCAGGAAATTCATATTCTCTGGGCCTTTCGGTGAAGTCACGTAGATTGGGTTCAAGGAAAATAACAAAAATAACAAAAAAATAACAACAAACTACGACGTTTCGATCGTCATCAGGAAGAACGCTTGCGTTGCGATCGAAACGTCGTAGGTTTTTTTTGCGTTATTTTCTTTCCCTTTTCACAGCATCAATATGTAAACTCCCCCTCCCCCCCTCGCCGGTCTGCACATGTTCACCCCCTCTACACCGTTCATCATGCTAAGTCCGCCAATTAAATGCTAATTTTTATGCTAATTCCTTTGTCAAGGCGCTCTGTTTCTTCTCACACAGCTTGAAGGTCGCGGTCTGAGCTTGGCTGTGTTCGCTCCAGCGCTGTCCTCGAGACAGTCTCGTCCCTTCACCTGATGACGGCCGCTTGTGTTGTGGCCGAAACGTCGTGAAATTTTTATTGTGTTATTTCATTTTATTAATTAATTATTTCATTCTCATTCTACGTGACTTTACCGAAAGAACCAAAGAAGATGAATCCTTGCAGTCACGAAAGCTTTAAATCGAAATCTATCTACGTGACTTTACCGAAAGACCCAAAGAATAAGAGACTCAATGTTTCACGTTGTGAATGCCTTGTGTGGTTATAATAGCCCACGCGGCGTCACGTGCAGCGGGTCACAGCATCGCCAAACGCTGAAGAATCGCACCGCAAATCGCTCTCGGCTGGGATCTCAAACCCAGCAAGCTGCAAGCGGCAGTAGCAGCAGCAGCAGCGGCCCCTACTGTTTCGCTCCGGATGACCGCTGCAAAGTATTATCTGTATTTTTATTTAGTGTGCTGATGTTAAAGGTGCATTGAAAGATGTGATACTCTGATGCTCCTGTTGTTTGTGGAGTGACTCATGCAGCCAGCTGTGGCTCTAGGGTTTGTGTATTATATGTTATTTATGTAGTTTATTGTTAAAAATTCGGTCACAGTCCGTATGATCACTGTTATATTGCATTTATGGCTTTGTTTTGGTGATTTCGAAAACGTTTTTTTTGTTTGGCCATGTTTTTGTTTATTGTAGTACGGAGTTAGACTGATGGCCTTAATCTAAGTTTTCTTGTTATTTTGACTTGCATCCCACTGGGATTTTTGCACACAGCGTTGGTGTACGGTGCTATTTTAGGAATATTTTTATGTTTTTTTCCTGGATTTTCTGTTTGCACAGTCATAGAGTCACTTAAAGATGTTTTTCTTGTTCATGTTTTTTGTTTGTTGTGGTTGCAACCGATTCAAGAGCCGAATGGCTCACAGGGGTATACCTAATAAATGAAACTATGGAACTATGGCTGATTGAGTGCGAGGATTACGATCAGCTGGCGTGACGTCACACGACCCGGGGAAGGGGCGGGGCGGCAGGGGGGCGGGACGGCGGGGGGGCGGGGTATTGAATTCCGTAACGCGGATAAGCGCCGCGATCCGCCAGCGGCCACCTCTGGTTGGGCTGCTCGCTCCCCCCGCCCCCTCCATCGCGCGCTCGGCGCGTGCGGACCTGACGAGCCAATCACGCGCGACTCTCGGCGAGGCTTTCGTCCAATGAGAAGCCGGGACTGGGCCCCCCCCTTCACACTCGCCGCCTATGCCGTGTAGGGAATTTGAGAGCGGCTACTGCCCATTCAATTGTATTGAGTGAGCGGGAGCGAGAAGATTTGGTGGTGGTGATTTGGTGGTGGTGGTGATTTGGTGGTGGTGGTGATTTGGTGGTGGTGGTGATTTGGTGGTGGTGGTGATTTGGTGGTGGTGGTGATTTGGTGGTGGTGGTGGTTGAGACGAGGCCCCCAGGACGTTTGGTGGTGGTAGAGGCGACACCCAGAGAGGACTGCGTTTGGGTGGACGTCTGTCGGGGGGTGGGGGGCGGGGGTAACAAGAGCTTTATAGCTCATCGGATTCCACCGGTATAAATACATATTCAGATTCTGGACACCAGAGCAGAGGATTTGGTACAAGAGACCACAGGATTTTTTTTGGTCTGGTGGCGGTGGTGGTGGTGGTGGACACGAGACCAGAGAGGATCTGGAGGAGGGGAAGAAGAGGCCGTCGAAATATTTGGTGCAGCTCAATGCTGCAGGGAAACCACGTTTAGAAGATCGAAGCCCCCCATTTCAACCTCCTTCGCCTGGTTGCCATGGCCAAGTTCAGGAAGATCGCCATCCTTGGCTACCGCTCCGTGGGTGAGTGTCGAGCCGACGATCGATGCGCCGATCAACGTGGGATAAATCAACCGTGTTCGACTTTGTTGCATCCCACTGGTATTTCCATCGATCCGATTGAACACGGCTGATGATGACGATATACAACGATGTTCTGTATCATCATCAGCCATGCTCGGTCCACTGCTCGATCGTCCGGTGGCTGCCCACCACCATCCATCCATCGCTCCCGCGCGTGGCCCTGATTCCATCGTTCCGTCTCCCAGGCGGCGGTGGTTCTCCTCGCCGCTTTCCCCCTCCTCCCTCCCCTCCTCTTGCTGCCATTCCATCGCCGATCTCGACCACCGCCCGCCATCTCGAGGCGTCCTGCCCAGAGCCCGCTCACCTTCCTCAACGTGACGCCTCTGACCTGCGTGGGGTTAGGCGAGGTGGTTCTTGTTGGCTGGTGTGGTTAGCGTCGGGGGTAGGGCTATGGCTGTGGTTAGGCTAGGGTCTGATTGGTTAGCGGTAGGGGTAGGGCGATGGTTAATGTAGTTAGGCGAGGGTCTGATTGGTTAGCAGTAGGGGTAGGGCTATGGCTAATGTGGTTAGGCTAGGGTCTGATTGGTTAGTGTGGTTAGCGGTAGGGGTAGGGCTATGGTTAATGTAGTTAGGCTAGGGTCTGATTGGCTAGTGTGGTAGGGCTATGGTTAATGTGGTTAAAAGCCGTGATCTGAACGTGGCTCTCTCACTCCAGCGCTGTCCTACCAGACAGTCTCGCCCCCTTCACCTGATGAAGGCCGCTTGTGTTGTGGCCGAAACGTCGTGAGAATATTATTGTGTTATTTTATTTTATCAATTTATTATTTTATTCTCATTCTACGTGACTTTACCGAAAGAACCAAAGAAGATGAATCATTGCAGTCACGAAAGCTTTAAATCGAAATTTAACCGCCTCTACGGGGAGGGATTCCACACATCCTTGAGATCATTCAACAGACTTCGGGATAAGAAGGCTCAACTAATCGAGTCTCTCACCTTTCTGAAGAGATGCCGCGACTCTAAGGTAATACCAACCGCATTTACACTAACCTCTGCTGTTGCAACTTCTCTCAATGCAAAACGAATTCTAGCTAGAACTAGCTTCGCTCTTATCTCGGAAAAAATCAGACTTACACGCACCGAACTCGATCAGTTAGACAAGACACTCTACAAATCACACTTAAAATTGACAGCAACAATGTCTACATCGGATTGGGAACATGTAGACAATATGACTACCTCTTCGGCTGCCACTATGTCGAACAAATGTAGGGACAATTTGATTTCCAAATTCAATCACCTCTCCAGCAAAAAATCGGATCCACACACCGAAAAGATAGACGTCAACAAAGTCGTAATTAATCGCAGTAACAGTTCCATTTCTGATGGTCTGAAATCCGTTTTAGCTAAAGGTCTAAACTTTGCTGTCACACCGAGACACTTACCGGTTAATGATATCATTGCCCATGTCGACGTTGCACTCAAGGGCTTGAGTCACATCTCTGCAGACGTAGCAAGATCTGAAATCGCTGCAACCCTCAAAAACGCTAAGTTGCCACCTAGCAACATCAGCAAAGACGAACGTTTTGAATTATCTCAATTAAAAAAGAGGGATGATATTGTCGTTCTCTCAGCCGACAAAGGCAATGCCACTGTCATCATGGACAAAACAGAATATAACAACAAAATTCAAGAACTACTCAACGATGGCAGCTATACAAAAATAAAAAGAGATCCCACCAACAGCCTGGTCACCAAAACGAACAAAATGATCTCTGATTCAACAGCATTAATTGATGAGAACAAACAGTTCTCGTTGAAACCCTCTGCTGCCAGACCACCAAGATTATATGGCCTTCCAAAGATACACAAAGAAGATACACCCCTTCGTCCCATCGTCTCTACTATCAGCTCCCCCACCTACAAACTGGCACGTTTTCTGGCTGATATACTGCGACCTTTCACTGGAAAAACCACCTCTGCGGTACTAAATTCTACTCACCTGGTATCGACAATCAAAGACATTTCCCTGTCCCCAAACGACCTGCTTGTCAGTTTTGATGTGGTGTCCTTGTTCACCAAAGTCCCGGTACCTGACACCATCGCTATCATTGAAGACCTGGTTCATCAAGGACTGCATACTGATGTACCCCCCCTGTGAGACATTGCTTAACCAACACATACTTCACCTGGAATGGAACTTTCTACAAACAAACTGAGGGCACCCCAATGGGCTCCCCCTATCTCCGGTTGTAGCCAACGTATTCATGGAAAAATTTGAAACTGACGCCATCCAGACTGCCACTCTACGCCCGACCTTATGGAAGAGGTACGTTGATGACACCTTTGTCATCTGGCCACATGGCCAGCCTGCTCTAGACCAATTCCGCGACCACATCAATTCCATACACCCAGCCATCAGATTTACCATGGAGGTCGAAAAAGATGGCAAACTACCCTTTCTGGATGTCTTAATTAAAAGGAGACATGATGGTTCAATGAGCCACTCTGTCTACAGGAAAGCTACCCATACAGATGCTTACTTGAAACCGGATTCCCACCACCATCCATCCCAGAAGAACTGCCTCATCAAGACTCTATACCATAGAGCCCAATGCATTTCCGACCAGAAACACATTACCAGTGAACTCAAGCACGTACACCAGGCTCTCAGGGCTAATGGCTACTCCGACTACACAATCCGCAAAGCCATCACTCCAGTCATGAAGAAGGATCCTCTTGTGGAGCCACTCAAAACCATCACCTTACCCTACATTGCAGGGGTCACTAAAAAGATCTCCAAAATCCTGAATAAACACAAGATCCAGGTCCGATTCAACACAGTACACAAAATCCGTGATTTAGTTCCATCTGTAAAAGATGCTCTTCCAGACATACAGTACCCGGGCGTTTACAAACTAAAGTGCCTCTGTGGTAGTAGCTACATTGGAGAAACCAAAAGACATATCTCAGACCGCATCCGCGAACATAAAGCAGACTTGAAACACGGTAAGACGAACTCCTCTGCCGTGGCAGATCACTGTTACAATTCAGTGGGCTCACATGACATTGACTTCTCCAAGACGGAGGTTCTTTGCAAACCAACTGGCTACCATGAGAGATTCGTTCATGAGGCCATTCACATATACAAGCACAGAGACAATTTCAACCGAGAAGATGGATTCAGGCTTAGTAACCACTGGAAAGATGTGTTAAATCATTTCTGTTCTTAATTAATTGTAATTTTACGATGACCTTCAGACCGCAGCTCTTTCGCCAGCATTGCCTCTTAATACCTCTCACACCACGGTTAATGGTATGGTTTACAACATGGAGTATACTAGGGCTTCACAGCTGTCTCTCTCCCCCTCCTCTGTTCCGACCATGGACGAACTCGTCCGTCTGAACGGGGCCCGTAGCTATCCGTGGTACGGAAATTTGAGGGCTCTTTGTTCCTCTCACACAGCTTAAAAGCCGTGATCTGAACGTGGCTCTCTCACTCCAGCGCTGTCCTACCAGACAGTCTCGCCCCCTTCACCTGATGAAGGCTGCTTGTGTTGTGGCCGAAACGTCGTGAGAATATTATTGTGTTATTTTATTTTATCAATTTATTATTTTATTCTCATTCTACGTGACTTTACCGAAAGAACCAAAGAAGATGGTTAGGCGAGGGTCTGATTGGTTAGCGGTAGGGCTATGGTTAATGTGGTTAGGCGAGGGTCTGATTGGCTAGTGTGGTTATCATTAGGGGTAGGGCTATGGTTAATGTGGTTAGGCTAGGGTCTGATTGGCTCGTGTGGGTAGGGGTCGGGCTATGGTTAATGTGGTTAGGTGAGGGTCTGATTGGTTAGCGGTAGGGGTAGGGCTATGGTTAATGTGGTTAGGCTAGGGTCTGATTGGCTAGTGTGGGTAGGGGTCAGGCTATGGTTAATGTGGTTAGGCTAGGGTCTGTTTGGCTAGTGTGGGTAGGGGTAGGGCTATGGTTAATGTGGTTAGGCTAGGGTCTGTTTGGCTAGTGTGGGTAGGGGTCAGGCTATGGTTAATGTGGTTAGGCTAGGATCTGATTGGCTAGTGTGGGTAGGGGTAGGGCTATGGCTAATGTGGTTAGGCTAGGGTCTGTTTGGCTAGTGTGGTTATCATTAGGGGTAGGGCTATGGCTAATGCGGTCGTGTTTCGCTTCGTCATGAGTTTCGCTTGGGTTGTTAAGGTCGTCGTGTTTGTCAATTCCGAACGACAGCCCTCCACCACCCGACAGAGCCAGTCGAGCCACGTCGTCACGGGGAAAGCGTGCTCGTCGGCGTGGTTCATCGGGCAAACTGCGGGACGAATGTTGAACAGCGCGAGCGGATTGTTGACCGCTTTTGAAATGTTGCGTTGTGCGTCGCAGGCAAATCGTCGCTGACGATACAGTTCGTGGAGGGTCAGTTTGTCGACTCCTACGATCCAACCATCGAGAACAGTGAGCGCCCCGTGGCCCCCCACGATTCGCACGCCAACAGCCAACATTACTACACTAAAATAAAATTATTTCCAATTTTTTTTTATTGTTACCAGGTATAAGGCCCCCACTGAGCTTTGTAGCTCTTTGTCAGGAGCGACCTGTCCGTCACAAATTATAGGTCGTACGAAGAGGCGGCCAATCATCATCGTCGTCATGTGGAAATGTATAGCAGCCAAATACTCTAAGGAGCCATCCATAAATGACGTCACGCATCTGGGGGGGAGGGTCAGACATTTGTGACGAGGGGGGGGGGGGTTTGGAGAAATGTGACGTCACATCAAAATGCGCAACTTTAAATAAATATAGACAACACGTTCTACTTAATTAAATAGACTGTTTAATAAATGTTTTCTCCTACAACATCAGAGTGCAGCGCCACATTAAATACGCACTAAGATGACAATAGTTTCAAGCTATTTGAAGCAATCAGACACCATAGAGCCCAATGCATATCCGACCAGGAACACATAGGCAGTGAACTCAAGCACGTACACCAAGCTCTTAGGGCTAATGGTTACTCCGACTATACAATCCGCAAAGCTATCACTCCAACCATGAAGAAGGACCCTCTTGAGGAGCCTTTCAAAACCATCACCTTACCCTACATTGCGGGGATCACAAAAAAGATCTCCAAAATCTTGAATAAACACAAGATCCAGGTCCGTTTCAACACATTACATAAAATCCGTGATCTGGTTCCGTCTGTAAAAGATGTGATTCCGGACATACAGTACCCTGGCGTCTACAAACTAAGTTGCCTCTGTGGTAGTAGTTACATTGGAGAAACCAAACGACATGTCTCGGACCGCATTCGTGAACACAGAGCAGTCCTTAAACACGGTAGGACCAACACCTCGGCCGTGGCAGATCACTGTTATAATTCAGTAGGCTCACATGACATTGACTTCTCCAAGACAGAGGTTCTTTGTAAGCCATCTGGCTACCATGAAAGATTCGTTCATGAGGCTATCCACATATACAAACACAGAAACATTTTCAACCGAGAAGATGGATTCTGGCTTAGCAATCATTGGAAGGATTTGATAAACCATTTCGGGTCTTAATTGATTGTTCACGCTTACGGTGGCTTTCAGACAGCATACATTAAATTTTCGTCTCCCCCCTCCTCTTTTCCGAACATAGATGGACTCGTCCTTCTAAACAAACTGTCAAATCGCTATCCGTGGCGCTAACGTTTTTTTAAAAATAAATAGAAGCACCGTTCAAAAATAAATAAAGAAAAGCAAATAGCGTTTGAAAATAAATTAATAAATACAGACCGCCACTTCTTTAAAATGCTTCTTGCCGTTGGTTTTTCACACTTGATGATGACTGTTTGTGTTACAGTCGAAACGTCGTGAGAATTTTATTGTTTAATATATATTTTATTATTTTATTGTTTCCCTTCAACGTGACTTTACCGAAAGAACCAAGAATAGATTTGAAGCATGTTTTTTTTTGGGGGGGGGGGGGCAGAGCTCTGTGACGTTATATTTGAGGGGGGGGTCTGACTTTTTGTGACGCCGTGTGACGAAGGGGGGGGGGGGTCAAAAATCGTCCAAAATCGCGTGACGTCATTTATGGACGGCCCCTAAATGCGCGTGGCGTGACGTTGAATAAACCACGTGACCACGGGGAGAAAGACACTGCAGACTCCAAATACACAGAAGGCGTCGGGGTCGGCATCGAACCCACGACCTCCTGCGTACCAGGCGAGGGAGTTAACATCTCGTAATCGCGGCACCCCATACAGATGTCACACGCAAACAACTACAGTCGCCGCTAAGTGGCAGTTAGGTTACCGCTGGTGCCAGGCTAGGTGCACTTTGAGGCCGTTACACGAAGTATGGAAGGCTGTCGCTGCAGGCAGGAGGTCACAGGACAGAGCCTGGTGTCGTGGGTTGACTGACTTGAGATGAGTGGCAGATGCACTCCCCACAATACCGCAAACAAAGACAAAGATCCCTCATATAGCCTCGATAAACTTTTGGGGCAAGTGCCGTAAGTGAGCACCTATGAAGGCACACGAGGGGATGGGTGGCCAGCACCATGCCGGGCCGCAAAAACACGCGCATATCACATACACGCTCGTACGTCACAAAGACAAACGCAAAGGCATCACACGCAAACACACACATCGCATGCACACACATGTTACACATTCACATCACACTCATTACATGCAAATTCACATCACACACATGCACCCATAATTTGCATACACACACACCATGCTAATCGGTGGTGCGGGGCCATACGTCATACACTCACCAACACACGTGTCACATGCAGACAACACAAACAACCGAGTCTCACACACACACACCGTACGATCACACGCACAAGGGTGGACGGACAGACATGGATCGATAGACGGAGGTGCAGACTGTCACACGGACAAATGTAGTTGTTAATACTGGTAGGAACCTCCTGGTTACACCAGCCCACAGGGGATTATTGTGTCCGTCCGTCCGTCGTGCATCCAAAAATGGGAGGGGTGGGGCTGGGTGGAGAGGGGAGGGTGGGGAGGGGCTGGGTGGGGAGGGAAGGGAGGGGAGGGGCTGGGTGGGGAGGGGCTGGTCACCCCGTGGTGCCCATATCAAACTCAACGTTTAACCTACTCACGCCGGCTTGTGCCCGCCTTCACAGTCGGGCATATTTGCGGAATACACCACGTGGTGCCGCCGTTGACCCTGGCCATTGACCGAGCAACCCAACGTTCCTACCAGCTCCCTCCGCAGGAATGTGTTTTATCTGTGTACTGTACGTGTGTGTGTGAGGAGAGCAGTAGTCCAGCGGTTCGCGCACTGCGCTCCGAACCCGGCGTCCCGAGTTCAATTCCTGCTCACGGTCAACATATGTGACTAATATCTAAAGCGGTCCTGGGCCTCCCCGAGATCAACTCAGCCTTAAATTAGTCCTTGGTGTCGTTTGTAAACATCAGCATTGAGGAGACAAAGGCGGCCGGGCGTGGCGTTGGCCATGCACCTCGTCGTTGCGGCGTTCCGGCCTTAAATCGGCGCTCGCTGGCAGGACTTGCCCCGACAGTCTGTTAAACGCTAAACGGGGGGGGGGGGGGGGACATTTGCATTGATATTTGTACACGACTCTTCCCTCTTGCAGCGTTCACGAAAACTCTCCATATCAACGGACAGGAGTTCAACCTGCAGCTGGTGGACACGGCCGGGCAGGTGCGTGGGCATGCGTGCTGATTTTGTTTAACCAGGTGAGAAGCCAAGTGACCTGTGCGACAGAGTGGGTGAGTTGGTGGGTCGGTGAGTCGGTGAGTGAGTGTGAATGGTTGAATAAGTGAGTGGGTGAGCAGGCGAGTGAGATTGTGAGCGGGTGATTGGGTAAATGACAGAGTGAGGTGGCGGGGTGAATCTTTCAAGTTAATTTTGTTGAACCAGGCGAGAGCTCAGGAGACCAGCGTAGTCTGATTTGCAGGAGTGACTCCGAGGCATTAGCCTGTCAGTAGGGGGGCGATAATTGCTGTCAACAGTGGCGAATATCGTAACTGTTCCTGGGCCTCCCCTAGGTCGACGTGAGCTTAAATGAGTACGAGTACCCGTGTCAGCGCTGGGGAAACCCAAGGCAGAAGGGCATGTTGTCGGCCACACCACTCCGTCATATGAGCACCGTGGCGGCCTTTCGTAGGTGCTACCCGCTCACAGCACTTTCCCCGTAAGTCCACGAAGGCAACAATGTGGCGGAACCTTTGTCTTTGTGCTCGTTTCTACAGGACGAGTACTCCATCTTCCCCCAGTCGTACTCCATGGACATCCACGGCTACGTGCTGGTGTACTCCGTCACCTCCAGCAAGAGGTAAGCTGACCACCCGCGTGGTGAAGTGTGGCCAAATTAACCGCCCGTGATCCGCACGGCCGTTGTGGTTGGGGGAAGCCCTCGCATCCAGCAGTGGATTGACAAAAGGGCTGTACGTATCTTTTCATCTTGATATCGGCCTTCCGTCTTCTATAACTTGGCCCCATTTTTTGCGGATTTATTTTGATCCAGTTTGTGTCGTGCTTCTCGCGGCCACGTGCGTAATACGTCAATACGGAGCGCGCCGATTTTGCCCAGCTTGGCTGCTGTTGTGAATGAGCCCAGGTGAGTCCTTGCTATGGTCGCACTTCCAGAGGCTCAGCTGACAATCCGCAGTTGTGGTGGAGACTCGCGACCTTCTCGGGAGCCAACGGCTCTGGCCGCGATAACGTCCTGATTTTTGGTTATGACGACGAATCTGCCGTCAGTGTTGCAGTTGTGTGTGTGTGTATGTGCGTGTGTGTGTAACACGGCAAAACAACCCCCTCCCTCCTCGCGGTGCCGGACGGGCAACTCTGTCGTGGATAGTGCTGTGGGGGGAGGGCCAATTCCGATCGGCCTCTCCACTCATGGTGTCTGTGACCACCACAGTGGCTAAATGGGGGCTTTGGATGGGTGCGAGGGGCTGGTAACCCCTCCACCTTCAATTAACCACCACAAAACCACGAATTAAATATGTATCTAATAAGCTTGTGCCGGAGGCCCCGGGGGGACAGGCATCTATGACGTCTCCTAGCCAAACCCCAATTGGCGGAGCCAGGAGATTGAATCTTTACCCTCGGGGCTCCTTTAGAAACAACGAAAAGGCACTTCGTGTGGCCACGTGGAATGTTCGAACGCTCACTGCAGAGGAGAGGCTGCCACTCCTCTTTCGGGAGCTGGACTGGTACCGCCTGGATCTCTGTGGCATTCAGGAGGTCCGGTGGACCGGTTCTGGCTCCTGCCACCATGAGGGGTGGACAGTCCTCTACTCGGGGTAGGAGACTGCCAAACAACAGGGTGTGGCCCTTCTTTTGAACAAAACAATGAAGGGGACGTGGGAGCATGGCGGTGAGGTGTGGGAAGCTGTAAGCCCCAGGCTACTTTGGGCTCGCCTTCCCATCAACCGGAGGCGAGGAGTGGTGGTCGTGGTTACTTATGCCCCCACCGAAGACGAACATCCGTGGAGGAATGCAGGCAAAGCCGATGAGTCAGATACCTTCTATGACCTCCTGTCACAGGTGGTGGCTAAAGTGGCCCCTCGGGATAGTCATCTTGTTGTCTGGAGTGATTGGAGGGCATGGGCCAGATCAGCTCAATAACAACGGTAGGAGGCTGCTAGATTTTTGTGCAGCCCATGGGCTTGTAATTACCAACACGCTGTTCCGGCATCGGCGCATCCACACAACATCATGGATGCATGCCGGGTCCAAGCAAGAACATCTGCTGGACTACATAGTGACGGACCAGCGGATGCGAGCACATGTCCTTGACAGCAGGACCTACCGTGGAGCTGATCTGCCCTCTGAACATTGACTAGTCATCTGTAAGATGCGCCTGCCATTCTTCCACTCCGGTGGTAGGTATACACCCAGGACCCCTTTCCAACCTAAAGTGGCCTGGTCTCAGCTGATGAAAGTTGCAAGCGAGAATTTCATCATCGCTTGCGGCTGGGGTTGGCATCGTTCCCCACTCCTCCTGATGTCGAGGGTAAATGGGCGAGGTTTAGGACTGTGACTCATGCAGCTGCAATGGCTGCTTTGGGTACTCGGTCCAGACCTCCCCAGAGACCCTGGCTGACAGAGGAGGTGTTCAGGATAGTTGAGAAATAGCGACAGGTCCACTCTCATCGGCTACAGCATCCCACGTCAGAGAATGAGGAGGCTTACCGCAGCCTTCGCTCGGAGGTTCGGAGAGCCGTGAGGCGCTATAAGGATGGGTGGTGGTCGCGGGTTGCTGAGGAGATGGAGTCTGCCTCAGTGACCCGCAATCACAAATCTCTATTTAACTCCATCAAAAAAGTAACCTGCAGCACCACACCTATTACCATCATTAGGGGAAAAACGGTGATCCAATCTCCGACCCGCAGGAACAGGTTTGCAGATTTGCTGAGCATTTCTGTGAGGTCCTGGGAGAGGGGAAATCCCTCAGCCAGGAAAACATCGTGGCACAAAGTGGGAATGACCCTGCTGAGGCTGCGTGCCTCAAATATTGGAAGAAGTCACCCCCTGTGAGTGGCTGGCTGAGGTGCCATCTGTTGAAGAAGTACTGAAGGCGATCCGGAGTCTGAGACCAGGAAAGGCACCGGGCAGAGATGATCTCCAAAGCCAAATGCTGAGGAAGGGTGGAGTGTGTGCCCAGACTGCCCTATATGACATCGTAACAACAGTCTGGACCACTGGACGGGTTCCGCAGGATTGGAAGGATGCCCTGGTGGTCCCCCTCTTTAAGAAGGGAGATCGCACAACGCAGCCTTGCCTGCCAGAGGAGCTCACCGATGGGACCTTGTCCAGATCTTTCAAGGATTTGTGAGCTCCTCACACAATCCAGCCTAGTTAAATCCAGGATTGGGTGTAGGCAGGCTAGCCTAAATGTTTCTAACCGGCAAACATGTTCCATTAGGGGGGTCCACGTTTCGCAAGCGTAGAGAAGGGAGGGAACGACTGTGGTAAGTCTTGTTGGAATTCCCTACACCTCTGCTGTAGCAGACGGACAGAAAATATGGCATCTGTGCAGGACCGCCCTTTCCTGAAACCGCATTGGGGCTCCGCAAGCCTCTCCTCAGCGTGCCTAGCAAGGCGATGTTGAATAATCCTTGCCAGGACCTTTCCCGGCACACTGAGGAGTGAAATGCCCCTGTAGTTGTTACAGTCTGTGCGTTGGCTGGGTCATGTAGCCCGCATGCCCAGCCACCGCATGCCTAAACAGCTTTTGTTCGGCCGGATCGAGGGGGCTAAGCGGGCGCGGCACGGGCTAGAGAAGAGATGGAGTGATGTGGTACAGGAGGACGTGGAGCTGAGTGGACTTGCCGATTACTGGTACTAGCGGTGTCAAGATCGGCCTCTGTGGAGGAGGCTCGTGAAGGACGCTACTGGGCAGTTGGAGGCAGTCGCCCTCCAACAACAACGGAGGGCGGAGGAGCGATGCTCACAACAACGAGCGGAGCGCCGGGTGGCTAAAGCACAGCAGGTTGGCACAGTAGGGGGCACAGGTGGTGCATCAGCCAGTCATCTCAGTCATCTCAGTCAGTCGACCCGTGGCACTTGGGTCTGCCCCGTGACCTCCTGCCAGCGGGCGTTCGACACTTCACGTGGCCTCAGGGTGCACATGGCCTGGCACAAGCGTCGTGGTGACGTCACCGCCACTTAGTGGCGAATGGCGGTTGTTGTGTGTGGGGGAGTGGTGGCGCAGCGGTGAGTGTATTGCGTTACGAACCCGGCGATCTGAGTTCAATTTCCGCTCACGGCCAACACCAGTGACTATTATCTGAACCGGTCTTGGGCCTCTCCTAGGTCAACTCGGCCTCAAAACGAGTACCTGGTGCGGTGCGTAAACATCGCCACTAGGGACACAAAGGCAGTTGGGCGTGGTGCTTGCCACGCACCCCCTTCCGTGCTGTTCCGGCCTTCATAGGTACTAGCTAACAGCACTTGCCCCCAATGTCTGTTAAGGCTATACGGGGGGGGGATATTTGTGTTTTGTGTGCACGTGCGCGTGCACGTGCGTGTGCATGCATAAACGTGTGTGTGTGCGCGTGTGTCTCTTTTTTCTCCCCACTCGCTCCAGTTTTGAGGTTGTCCAGATTATCCACGACAAGCTGCTCGACATGGTGGGAAGTGTCCAGTAAGCAGCAACGAGTCGCACTGCCCCTCACTCGCTCGCACCGTTACGCCCCTTTGGCCCAGGCTCTGGCCCAAGAAGACAGTCAAGACATCGGTAAAGCCTTTGGCCCACGGTGTTTGCCGTCAAGGCTGCTTCGCCGCAATTAGCGGTTGATGCCCATCTCGTGTTTACAGCCCTGCAGAGCCAGCGGTGGAAGTTCCGCATTTCTATGGCAGGGGAGTGGGGCGTGAGTTTATGCATAGGATCACGACCGCTGTTGATCTAAACGCCCTGCCGCTGAGCCATCGACATCACTATCGGTGTCGGTGTTAATCATCTTCTCGTACATTTGGAAGTCGCGCCCTTCGTTAAACCGCAGGGCTACGTCATGGATGGCCGCGCGGTGTGTCACTGACGGGTATTGTAGGCGGCGATGTTGCTGCGTGGTTTTGCCCAATTAATACATTTTCCGCGCTTATCAAATTCAACGAATTTGGACCGTGACGCCAGCAAGCGGTGGCCGACTCGATTTAGAACGACGTCACGGGGATCTTTAACGGCCACTGTGAGTAGGGGGATTATGACGGTTATTAGACACTGCAGTATTAACCAGGGTGGCCGCATGGCTCGACCCGCGTGAACCTCTGCAACAAGCGGCGAACCATTCGGTTGTGTTTTGTTTATTTTAATTTTGGTCTATTCCAGAGTTCCAATTGTGCTGGTGGGGAACAAGAAAGATCTTCACTTGGAGAGGTGATGATGCACGCACACACATACGCATGTACACACATGTAACGGGCGTTATAGGGCTAGGGGTGTAACGGGCGCTATAGGGCTAGGGGTGTAACGGGCGCTATAGGGCTAGGGGTGTAACGGGCATTATAGGGCTAGAGGTGTAACGGGCGTTATAGGGCTAGGGGTGTAACAGGCGTTATAGGGCTAGGGGTGTAACGGGCATTATAGGGCTAGGGGTCTAACGGGCGCTATAGGGCTAGGGGTGTAACAGGCGTTATAGGGCTAGGGGTGTAACGGGCACTATAGGGCTGGGGGTGTAACAGGCGTTATAGGGCTAGGGGTGTAACTGGTGTTATAGGGCTAGGGGTGTAACGGGCACTATAGGGCTAGGGGTGTAATGGGTGTTATAGGGCTAGGGGTGTAACGTACGTTATAGGGCGAGGGGTGTAACGAAAGTTATAGGGCTAGGGGTGTAACAGGCACTATAGGGCTAGGGGTGTAACGGGCACTATAGGGCTAGGGGTGTAACGAGCGCTATAGGGCTGTGGGTGTAACGGGCACTATAGGGCTGGGGGTGTAACAGGTGTTATAGGGCTAGGGGTGTAACAGGCGCTATAGGGCTAGGGGTGTAACAGGCGTTATAGGGTTAGGGGTGTAACAGACGCTATAGGGCTAGGGTTGTAACAGGCATTATAGGGCTAGGGGTGTAACAGGTGTTATAGGGCTAGGGGTGTAACAGGCACTATAGGGCTAGGGGTGTAACAGGCGCTATAGGGCTAGGGGTGTAACAGGCGTTATAGGGCTAGGGGTGTAACAGGCGTCATAGGGCTAGCGGTGTATCAGGCGTTATAGGGCTAGGGGTGTAACAGGCGTTATAGAGCTAGGGGTGTAACAGGTGTTATAGAGCTAGGGGTGTAACAGGCGTTATAGTGCTAGGGGTGTAACAGGCGTTATAGGGCTAGGGGTGTAACAGGCGTTATAGAGCTAGGGGTGTAACAGGCGTTATAGAGCTCGGGGTGTAACAGGCGTTATAGGGCTAGGGGTGTAACAGGCGTTATAGGGCTAGGTGTGTAACAGGCGTTATAGGGCTAGGGGTGTAACAGGCGTTATAGAGCTAGGGGTGTAACAGGCGTTATAGAGCTAGGGGTGTAACAGGCGCTATAGGGCTAGGGGTGTAACAGGTGCTATATAGGGCTAGGGGTGTAACAGGTGCTATATAGGGCTAGGGGTGTAACAGGTGCTATATAGGGCTAGGGGTGTAACAGGTGCTATAGGGCTAGGGGTGTAACAGGCGTTATAGGGCTAGGGGTGTAACAGGCGCTATAGGGCTAGGGGTGTAACAGGCGTTATAGGGCTAGGGGTGTAACAGGCGCTATAGGGCTAGGGGTGTAACAGGTGTTATAGAGCTAGGGGTGTAACAGGCGTTATAGGGCTAGGGGTGTAACAGGCGCTATAGGGCTAGGGGTGTAACAGGCATTATAGGGCTAGGGCTGTAACAGGCGTTATAGGGCTAGGGGTGTAACAGGCGCTATAGGGCTAGGGGTGTAACAGGCGTTATAGGGCTAGGGGTGTAACAGGCGATATAAGGCTAGGGGTGTAACAGGCGCTATAGGGCTAGGGGTGTAACAGGCGTTATATGGCTAGGGGTGTAACAGGCGCTATAGGGCTAGGGGTGTAACAGACGCTAAAGGGCTAGGGGTGTAACAGGCGCTATAGGGCTAGGGGTGTAACAGACGTTATAGGGCTAGGGGTGTAACAGGCGCTATAGGGCTAGGGGTGTAACAGGCGTTATAGGGCTAGGGGTGTAACAGGCGCTATAGGGCTAGGGGTGTAACAGGCGTTATAGGGCTAGGGGTGTAACAGACGTTATAGGGCTAGGGGTGTAACAGGCGCTATATAGGGCTAGGGGTGTAACAGGCGTTATATGGCTAGGGGTGTAACAGGCGCTATAGGGCTAGGGATGTAACAGGCGTTATAGGGCTAGGGGTGTAACAGGCGCTATAGGGCTAGGGGTGTAACAGGCGTTATAGGGCTAGGGGTGTAACAGGCGATATAAGGCTAGGGGTGTAACAGGCGCTATAGGGCTAGGGGTGTAACAGACGCTAAAGGGCTAGGGGTGTAACAGGCGCTATAGGGCTAGGGGTGTAACAGACGTTATAGGGCTAGGGGTGTAACAGGCGCTATAGGGCTAGGGGTGTAACAGGCGTTATAGGGCTAGGGGTGTAACAGGCGCTATAGGGCTAGGGGTGTAACAGGCGTTATAGGGCTAGGGGTGTAACAGACGTTATAGGGCTAGGGGTGTAACAGGCGCTATATAGGGCTAGGGGTGTAACAGGCGTTATATGGCTAGGGGTGTAACAGGCGCTATAGGGCTAGGGGTGTAACAGGCGCTATAGGGCTAGGGGTGTAACAGGCGCTATAAGGCTAGGGGTGTAACAGGTGTTATAGGGCTAGGGGTGTAACAGGCGTTATAGGGTTAGGGGTGTAACAGACGCGATAGGGCTAGGGTTGTAACAGGCGTTATAGGGCTAGGGGTGTAACAGGCGTTATAGGGCTAGGGGTGTAACAGGCGCTATAGGGCTAGGGGTGTAACAGGCGCTATAGGGCTAGGGATGTAACAGGCGTTATAGGGCTAGGGGTGTAACAGGCGCTATAGGGCTAGGGGTGTAACAGGCGCTATAGGGCTAGGGGTGTAACAGGTGTTATAGGGCTAGGGGTGTAACAGGCGTTATAGGGCTAGGGGTGTAAGAGGCGTTATATGGCTAGGGGTGTAACAGGCGCTATAGGGCTAGGGGTGTAACAGGCGCTATAGGGCTAGGGGTGTAACAGGCGTTATATGGCTAGGGGTGTAACAGGCGTTATAGGGCTAGGGGTGTAACAGGCGCTATAGGGCTAGGGGTGTAACAGGCGTTATAGAGCTAGGGGTGTAACAGGCGCTATAGGGCTAGGGGTGTAACAGGTGTTATAGGGCTAGGGGTGTAACAGGCGTTATAGGGCTAGGAGTGTAAGAGGCGTTATATAGGGCTAGGGTTGTAACAGGCGTTATAGGGCTAGGGGTGTAACAGGCGTTATAGGGCTAGGGGTGTAACAGGCGCTATAGGGCTAGAGGTGTAACAGGCGCTATAGGGCTAGGGGTGTAACAGGCGTTATAGGGCTAGGGGTGTAACAGGCGCTATAGGGCTAGGGGTGTAACAGGCGCTATAGGGCTAGGGGTGTAACAGGTGTTATAGGGCTAGGGGTGTAACAGGCGTTATAGGGCTAGGGGTGTAAGAGGCGTTATATGGCTAGGGGTGTAACAGGCGTTATAGGGCTAGGGGTGTAACAGGCGCTATAGGGCTAGGGGTGTAACAGGCGTTATATGGCTAGGGGTGTAACAGGCGTTATAGGGCTAGGGGTGTAACAGGCGTTATAGAGCTAGGGGTGTAACAGGCGTTATAGTGCTAGGGGTGTAACAGGCGTTATAGGGCTAGGGGTGTAACAGGCGTTATAGGGCTAGGGGTGTAATAGGCGTTATAGAGCTAGGGGTGTAACAGGCGTTATAGGGCTAGGGGTGTAACAGGCGCTATAGGGCTAGGGTTGTAACAGGCGTTATAGGGCTAGGGGTGTAACAGGCGTTATAGGGCTAGGGGTGTAACAGGCGCTATAGGGCTAGGGGTGTAACAGTCGCTATAGGGCTAGGGGTGTAACAGGCGTTATAGGGCTAGGGGTGTAACAGGCGCTATAGGGCTAGGGGTGTAACAGGCGCTATAGGGCTAGTGGTGTAACAGGTGTTATAGGGCTAGGGGTGTAACAGGCGTTATAGGGCTAGGGGTGTAAGAGGCGTTATATGGCTAGGGGTGTAACAGGCGCTATAGGGCTAGGGGTGTAACAGGCGCTATAGGGCTAGGGGTGTAACAGGCGTTATATGGCTAGGGGTGTAACAGGCGTTATAGGGCTAGGGGTGTAACAGGCGTTATAGAGCTAGGGGTGTAACAGGCGCTATAGGGCTAGGGGTGTAACAGGCGTTATAGGGCTAGGGGTGTAATAGGCGTTATAGAGCTAGGGGTGTAACAGGCGTTATAGGGCTAGGGGTGTAACAGGCGCTATAGGGCTAGGGGTGTAACAGGCGTTATAGGGCTAGGGGTGTAACAGGCGCTATAGCGGTAGGGGTGTAACAGGCGCTATAGGGATAGGGGTGTAACAGGCGCTATAGGGATAGGGGTGTAACAGGCGCTATAAGGCTAGGGGTGTAACAGGCGCTATAGGGCTAGGGGTGTAACAGGCGCTGAAGGCTGGCGGGGTGGGGGCTGTGCTGTGCCCGTGGTGCAGGGTGATCCCCTGCGAGGAGGGGAAGCGCCTCGCCGATGCGTGGAAGGCCGAGTTCATGGAGTCGTCCGCCAAGGAGAACCAGGTTAGCGCGGCCCTTGCCGACTGCCCTCATCGTCGTCGTCGTCATCACCGTCATCACCATTATCTTCATAATCCTCATCGTCATCATGAACATCGTCATCATCGTTGACATAATCATCATTCGCACAACTCTTCATTTCTCTCTATATTCTCCGGGTCGCCGGCAGACTGGAGTAGGTGGCACGTGACCAGTCGTGGATCCTGGCCCATTGCGAGAGAGGGCGAGGCGTGTATACTGGATGTGGTGTGCCGAGTGCAGGCCGCGGTGGACGTCTTCAAGCAGATCATTGTGGAGATCGAGAAGGCCGACGGTGCCGTCCCCCAGCCCAAGAGCAGCTGCCTCGTCATGTGACCCCGCCGCCTCCGGGTCACGTGACCACCTCCGGGGTCACGTGACCGCCTCCGGGGTCACGTGACCGCCTCGCGGTTCGAGCCCAGCGGCCGCCCCGGTTAACACTGAGGTGTGTGTTAACACTGAGGTGTGTGTTAACACTGAGGTGTGTGTTAACCGGAGTAGTAGTTGTAGTAACACTGCTACCACGCGCCGTCCGCTTCACCGTGGACGTCAAAGATCCCGTGACGTCGTTCGCAAGGGTGGGCCCCATCGTGTGCCGGCGCCGTGTTGCAAATTCGCCAAATTTGAGATACGGCACCACGATTGGGTTAAACCGTAAAGCAACGTGGCCCCCTCCACCCCCCCCCCCGCGCCGGAACACAGCACCGGCCCCCCACTGTCATGCCGGTGCTGTGTTCAAGCTTGTGACGTGCAGGGACAGCACCCACCGGGGGGACCCCCCCCCTAGGCTGAGCACCTGTGCTGTGAGATGTTTTTCGTCACGTGTGATTGGACCAATTATAAATTCAAGTATTACGATTCATAACCCCCCCCCACCGACCTCCGCCCCCCACCCCCGCCTGCCCCCCAGTCTTCCCCTTGCCCCTGGGTAGTGCTTGGGCGATGTGCAGGGAAGTTTCCGAACGAGTCAAGTTTCCCTCCCAAGCGACATTGCGATGGTATACTGGATGTGGTGTGCTGGGGTTCAGAAATATAATCTAGGTCGCTGGTAGACTACAGTAGTAGGTGGCACCTGACCGGTCGTAGTCACGGCCCACTGCGAGCGAGATAGATGTATACTGGATGTGGTGTGCCGGATGATGGAGGGAGAGGTATTACTACAAGTGGCGGCTGATGTTAAGCACTGGTTACGTATCTGTAGTAGGGGTGGGGGGGGGGTTGTGATTTTCGTACATTAAGTCAGAAGAAGTATTTAGCTCCCTCCCATACCCCCCTTGCATGCCGCCCGTTTTTAGCATCGGAACGCCTCGAGGTGAAGTTGAAAGCGTTTGTACGTTGCCGCTGTCCGTCCGCGTGTAACCGCGGGGGGAGAGGAGGGTTGGGGGGGGTTTCGATGACTCCCGTGGAGGTGATCCGACCTTGAGCGTGAAGTTCGACGTCGGATCACCTCCCCCCCCCTCCACGTACAGAACGACATTACGAAAATCTAGGAATGTCGTAAGATAAGACGTGTCACAGCTGCCATTCCACGAGGGAGTTGGGACATTTTGGTAAGTTAGGAGGGTGGTTGGGACCACTCGCTCCATTGCGCATTTGGCAAAGTGACAGTCAAATTAATAATGCTTTATGATAAACCTTAATCACAAATATACTTACCTCAACCACAGACTGGCTGAAGGAGAGGTCTGATGACTTTGCGGCAGCCATGTTGCATGGGGGGGGGGGGGAATTCACGGCGGCCATGTTGCATGGGGGGTTGTCCTGGCAGCCGATTGGTTGGCGCAGTGGGACTGATGACATCAACCCCCTGGCAACCGCTGCCACGCCCACAGCGTTGCGATCTCACTCGATTTCCTCTTCACTTTTAGGATCTTTCGGTAATCTCTATAGTTGCTGGATTTTACGAAAAAAATCTCTACACGGGGCCTCTAGTGTATGCTGCACCCCAAGAAAGTCGCTCACCAAATTGGTTTTAATGTGTTTATTTGCCTCTTCCCCCCTCCATAAAGCAGTGCCCAGCATTCGAAGGAAGAACTCTATAACCCACGTGGGAAATTGGCACGATAGGGTAAGCAGCTTGGAGGTTAGGAATATAACTGCGTGTGTAAGGAGAAATAGGATCACTGGTGGTGTTATATTTATTTGTGTTTTTGTTTACTTAACTTGGGAGGCCCTCTCCCGAGTCTCAAGGCTGCTTTTGAATCAACGTCTTAACTGCATTTGGGATCGTTTGGCCAATTCCGCTGTGAACGAGCGTTTCGCTTGGCGCACATACGAGGAGGAGATAACGGCTGGCTGGGATCGCGATGACCTCTTGACCTTTTAGATAACTCACGGGCGCACACGGCGCGGATTCCGTCGGTTTAACGCGGCTCTTGAAATATTAATTTAATTTTTTTACCGAATTCTAAAAAAAAAATGGCTCCCCTTGTAATTTTGGCTGCAGGACCCCCCTGCTCTTGCCAATCGCTGTGTGTGTGCGTCTGTGGCTGCTTGGCAATGGCGAATGCAGACTGTGAATTAATCTGCTGCTTCGGTTAATCTTCTGAAATGGGCCCCCGTTACGTTCATCACATCACACCACAACACCATCACACTACACTACCACCACCACACCGTCTAATCGCATCCACATCCCATTCAAGCGCAGTCTCAAACGCGCCCTTTATTCAGATGCAGAGCGTGTGTGCTCCGTCTGCGGTGTGATTGCAAGTTAAACAAATTATGTCCGATTTAAAGCTTTCGTGACTGCAGGGATTCGTCTTCTGGGTTCTTTCGGTAAAGTCACCACGTAGAATGGAGATGAAATAATAAAAATAAACATAACAATAAAATGCTGTTATTATTGGAAGGCTAGGAAGGCTACTTGTGTTGTGGCCGAAATGTCGTGAGAATTTTATTGTTATTATTTTATCTCCATTCTACGTAACTTTACCGAAAGAACCCGGAAGATGAAATTATATCCGGTCATGCAGCTGCTGCTGCTACGTTGCCAGTGGTGCACAAGCAACAACAGCAGCTTTGTCAATAGCACACGTGGCCTTAAAAAGAAAAGCCTATAATTGGCAACGTTTTGGGACAATTGGCCTAATTCTTCTGAGCACGTGGCCAGGTGCTATGAAAAAGGGCCATTGAACGATACGTCACCTTTTATATATGTATATTTATTTGCTTTTAAGGCCACGTGTGTCGTTGACGAAGGTGCCAGCCCAGAGGTGACCACCATGGGGCGCTGCGATCACATTTGTTCAGTCCAGATACAGGGACTCTTCTCCTTATGAACATTCGACTTACGCACTTTTAGAGATACGAACAAACCTGTCGGTCCGTATGTCCATGTTGCCTGTTCAGGACCAAGAGTCGTAAGTTCAACCGCCGCGAAATAGATGGCGGCGGTGGCATCTACATCTGCAGAACGTGAAGAACCAGTGGCATCTACATCTGCAGAACGTGAAGAACCAGTGGCATCTACATCTGCAGAACGTGAAGAACCAGTGGCATCTACATCTACAGAACGTGAAGAACCAGTGGCATCTACATCTGCAGAACATGAAGAACCAGTGGCATCTACATCTGCAGAACGTGAAGAACCAGTGGCATCTACATCTACAGAACGTGAAGAACCAGTGGCATCTACATCTGTAGAACGCGAAGAACCCAGTGGCATCTACATCTGTAGAACGTGAAGAACCAGTGGGATCTACATCTGCAGAACGTGAAGAACCAGTGGCATCTACATCTGCAGAACGTGAAGAACCAGTGGCATCTACATCTACAGAACGTGAAGAACCAGTGGCATCTACATCTGCAGAACATGAAGAACCAGTGGCATCTACATCTGCAGAACGTGAAGAACCAGTGGCATCTACATCTACAGAACGTGAAGAACCAGTGGCATCTACATCTGTAGAACGTGAAGAACCAGTGGCATCTACATCTGCAGGAGATTATACAACTTTTAAATCCATTCCCTCCCCCGTGTTTAATGTACACGCCGTACAACATGTTTGGAATCGACAGGAGTAAAGTTATACTTACGAACAAATCGACTTACGAACAGACACCTCTGGAACCTAACCCGTTCGTAAGTAGAGGAGTCCCTGTATTTAGGCCGCGAGGTTCCTACAACTTTGGTGGCGGAAACAGCCCCTACGCCCCCCCCCCCACCCCCCCTGTTGCTGGTGACTGTTGCCCTAAGATTGCCCACAAGTGGATGGCTGCCCTCGAGTGCTCCACGTTTGCACTTTACACAATTAAAAGGACATTTGACGTTGCGCCGGAGTTGTCCTTTATCGTCTGTCACGAGCAACTGTTGTTGTTACCCGTGGCTCGACCACGGGAAGCAGTGTAGGGTCGAGGGTGCAGCGGATGAGGAAATTAGAGGAACGGGAAGAGAAGGGACGTGAAGGCAACGCAACAAACGGGAGCAACGTCGCCCCAGTGCTGATGTTCATACACTGCACGATGTACTCATTTAATGCCGAGTCGACCTAGGGGAGGGCCCGGGACCGGTTCAAATATTCGCCACGGTTATTGGTCGTGAGCGGCAATGGAACTCTGGTTGCCGGGTCCATAGCGGAGTGCGCTAACCACTGCACCACCACTCCCCCACAGTGGCACCCCGGACAGAGAAAAGAGCCTCCTCCGTTCGCCACTAACTGACGGTTACATCACCACAGCGCTTGTGTGCCAGGCTAGGTGCACTTTGATGCCACGTGACGTGCACACCAACACACACACAATGCGGGTGGACAGTGTGGAGGTGTCTGTCGGCGTCCAGCGAGAATCGGACGCTCGGAACCACGCGTTTATTAATCGTCACCGCACGTAGAACCGGCGGCAGAAGCGGAGCAATGGATGCGGCCAACCGCGCAGACATTCACAGTTTACTGCGACCGGGAACGCCGCGGGAGATGGAATTGTGTCTACGCAGGTGAAGGAAACACATGTAATTGCCGTGTTGGAGACGCTGGGCCGACACCACTGAGATTCTAGGTCCTAATCCGGGTTTTTAGTGATTACGCCGGGTTCTCAAATCTAGCGAGTTGATGGTTTCAGCCCGGTCAACCAATGACTCGCACAGAGATCCGTGGACTCGCACAGAGGCTCCGACTCGGATGTGCTGAGCTGTGATTATTTAGGGTTCTCAAGTTTAGTGAGAAAATGGTCTCAGCCTGGTCACCAATGACTTGCATAGAGACCCATAGACTCGCATAGCCCGAGTTGTTTCTCTAGCGAGTGGAAAATCTTGGCCCGGTCACCAATTCCCCCCCCGCCCCCGACAAAACAAAAGCATCGATAGAGTCCCGTCGCTTTCAAGTCTCCAAATTACAGTTCCGAAGTCGAAAGTGTTCCGGTTTGACTGGCGCTCGATAAACACGTCACGGCAAGGGCGCACGAAGAGGCGGGCGTTGGGGATTCCCGACGGAAGCGTTGGAGATAACGGGGCGATCGAATCAAGTCCGTGACGTCATCTCCTTCCTCGTCCAAGGAATGTTCCTCGCCGGGGTTGAAGGAGGCGGCGTGCCGCACAAATTTCCGTAATAATGATGGGGTCGGCAGGGGCAGGGGCGTTAGAAAAATAGCATTATCTACGAAGCAGCAGGTCAAAGGTTATTAGTTTGCCAGTTGACAAGAGGACGTGAGCTCGGGACAACCGCACCACCAGGGGCGACGACGATGGCCGGTGGGCGCGGTGAGCTACCGCGCGGCAGCCCAAGGGATCGGACCCGTGAGCAGGCGGTGGGCGGACCGCCGCATCGTGAAAAACGCAAAGGATGGCGACGGCTTGGGGGAGGGGGGAGGCCTTCATCCAACAGTGGATCGATCGTGGCCGACGACGCCGAAGCGTCGCGGGTTCGCCGTCGCGTCCCGGCGTTCGTTTCGCCAAGGGCCACGGCGTTCGGGCGTCGGTGGCCGCTTGCGTCGGCGTCCCTCCGTTCCCTCCGGTGCCTCCGCTCCGTGGGTGGGAGCGCGCGGGCGCGCTGGGGGCACGGTGGAAGACGCGGGGGAGGGAAGCGGCCCGCGTCGTCTCACGTGAGGTACTTGACGACGGCGATCATGATGAGGCAGGTGATGAGCATGCCGACCACCATGATGGCCTTGTCCTGCGTGGCCCTCTTCTCGATGAGACGCATCACCGTGTTGGACAGGCCCAGCATGTTGGCAACGTCCAGGATCTTCTTCTGAGCGCCCTGCCGTGACAAAGACAAAGTTCCCCCGCGTAGCCTTTCGCGGAATGTTGCGGCAAGTGCTGTTGGCGAGCGGCTATGAAGGTCGGCACGGCACACGAGGGGGTGGGTGGCCAGCACCACGCCCGGCCGCCTTTGTCTCCCCCAGTGGCGATGTTTACTACACACCGCACCAGGTACTCATTTGAGGCTGAGTCGACCTAGGGCAGGCCCAGGATCGGCTGAGATGAATTCGTCAGCGGTGTTGGCCATTCAGCGGGAATCGAACCCGGGTCGCCAGGTTCGTAGCGCATTCGCCACTAAGTGGCGGTGACGTCACCACGACGCTTGTGCCAGGCCATGATGTTTACACACCACACAACGTAATGAATCGACTTAGGGGAGGCCCAGGAACGGTTCAGATATTCGTCACTGATGTTGGCCGCGTTCATAGCGCTACGCGCTAATCACTGCACTGCGGCCCTATCGTGCGCACACAAAGACAAAGATCTCCCGTATAGCCTTAACTGACTGTAGGGGCAAGTGCTGTTAGCGAGCATGGCACACGAGGGGGTGGGGGGGGGTGGCCAGCACCACGCCCGACCGCCTTTGTCTCCCCAGTGGCGATGTTTACACAACCTCACCAGCTACTCATTTTGAGGCCGAGTCGACCTAGGGGAGGCCCAGGAGTGCGCGCGCGCGCACACGCACACGCAAATAACAAGTTGTAAATGCGGAGCCCCGTGACTGCACGCCCGCGGCGCTGCTGGCGGGAGCTGGCGCTGGCGGCCAGCGCCGTCGTCGCACCTTGAGCGTCCTCCGCTGGTCACGCAGCCCGTCGATGATGCCGCTGCCGCTGGCGATGAGGTCGTCCATCCCCGAGTGGGCGTTCCGCAGGGACGAGTTGTACTGCAGCGCCTCGTCTATGGCGATGGACGTGTCCGCGTCCTGCACGCGGGGCGACACGGCGGCGAGATGTCAACGACCTCGCCCTGGTTTACGGGGGCTTGCGAGGACGATCCCGACCCGGACCCCTGTATATTCCGAGATTGCATGTTCTCCCCGCGGCCGCGTGGATTTTTCCCCGGGTTCCCCGGTTTTCCCCCTCCGCATTTCGAATCGACGTGCGTCGATGTGTCCACATGAGACGCCGCTTCGTTGAGCTATCATTTGTGGGCAGGCCGCTTCTGAAAGAGAGCTATGAAGCTCGGTGGGCCTTACCTGGTCATATAAAACTAGTTACGTGTGCCAAGCACACAGGACACGGGCATATGGACGGACACGTGGATTGACGGAACGCACACATGGACGGACTCGCGGACAGACGAACACATGGACAGTGGGACGCACAGACGGGACATACGGTCGGATAAACGGAGGGAGGGGCACACGGCCAGTAAACCAGATGGATGGACAGAGATCGTCACGCGGAGAGCCGGATGGACACTTGGACACGTTGACGGACACAAGATGGACAGACGGGACACGCGGAGAGACAGGCCCGTTGGCAAGACACGGACACACGTGCCGCTTTTAAGGGAGGCCCGAGCAAAGGACGACAAACACGGCACACCCCCGGTCGACTCCATCGAGTCCGCGCGTACGTTGGTGGTGAAGGACTTGGCGAGCAGCTCCTCCCGATCGCGCTCCGTCTGCTCGCGCTTCAGGCGCCGGTGAGCAAAGTTCTGCAGCGCCGCTCGCAGGTGCTGAACGTCATACTTCAGCTGGTCCACTCGCCTGGGGGGCGGGGGGCGGGAGGGCGGGAGGGGGGGGGGGGGCGGTGACACGACCGTGCGGCAGCGAGTTAGCCGCTTGTTGTCGGGGTTCGCGGTGGTTCGAACCTGGCGGCCGTCCCGGATAATACTGGCGGTTGTATGAACCGCGGCGGCTTCATCCTAAAAAGTCAGAGGAGTGATCTGGTCACGTTCATAGGCCGTGGACAAGTGGTGCAAATCCCACATTGCTGTGGCCCGGGGCGAGTCTATACATAGCACAACCACCGCTAGCTTCCTCACAAAGTAGTACCCTATTTTATTGGCCACGGAGGTAGGGAGCAAAGGATGATGGGCCCAATCACCACCTCCCCCACGAGCCAGGATTTGAATTCGCGATCTTACGACTGCCGCGAGTCCCCCAAGCCAAATTTAAATTTGACAAGCGTTGAAAATTTACTCGCAAATTACTTTGTTTGGAAATCGCGACACACGGCGGCATCGCCTCCTCCCGGCAGACTTATGCCGTCTTCGCAGGCCAGGCGCCAAGCTCACCCACCTAGACGCTGCCCACAGGGACAGCTGCCGCTGGGGGTCCCCGCCCCGTGGCTAAACTGCCGCAGGGCGCTTCGGCGCGTGCTGCTGCATGGAGGAGGTGCAGTGCAAACACACGAGAGACGGCGATTCGGTGACGATGCGGGGAGAGGACGGGGTTAGAGTTTGCCGAGACGGATCTGGTGTCAAGAGGCTCTCGGGTGGAGGGCCCGGTGAGAGGGGTGGAGGGGCCCTGGCAGGCAGTAGCCGGGAACCAGAGTGGTCATTAATTAGCCATTGTTAGATGTCTAATAATGGCGGCCCAGGCAGAACACGCGTCCAAGGGGTGACGACGGCCAGGGAGATGGAGCCAAAAGATCGTGGCCACGCGTGGGAGTGAGATGGATGGTGGCGGCACCGGGCGGTAAGGAATGGCGACAGCGTTGGGGAGGCCTTCATCCAGCAGTGGACGGACCATGGCTGATGATGATGATGATATATTATCATCAACCATGGTCAATCCATTTTTGGATGAAGTCGATTGTACAGTTGTATATAGCAGCAACAGGAGCGTGAGCAATAATCTATAAATTGGCAATAATCGTCACGGCAACGTGTAGCGTGCTGCCGCCACCACCGCCGCCGCCGCCGCAGTTCCTCGCTCTGTTGAAGAGAAATTAGGATGACTCACAGGTGCGGGGAAGAACCACAGACGAGAAGGACAGGCCAGCAGCAGCAGCAGTCAGGCTCCTAATTCTCACCAAAGCTGTGCAGAGTCCTCTACACATTAAGGCGTTATCAGCCAATTAATGAGTGTCCACTTGTGGGAGGAAACTGAAGTACCCAGAGACAAGCCGCGAATGCGCGGAGGCAACAATCTAGCCCATACAGAAGCACAGCTGTCAACCCGTACGGTTTGATCCGTATTCTTGTACAGGGAAACTGAGTTTTCTGGTCCATACGGCGTACAGCCGTTTCAATACGAGCAACAACAACAACAAAAATCGATTTTTTTGGTATTTCTCCCTTGTGATGGGACTTTGTAGGATGAACGTTGAGATTTTTAGGCGGCACGGGGTGACCAATAAGGTCTGAATGGGTCTGTAATCAGGTAGGCACTGGTAAGGGGCTGACAGGTTTGCAGAAGGGACGAACGGCGATCAGTCCGCACTTTGCTATGCCGCCTTCTCCTGGCGAGGCAGGGCACGGTCTCCTCCTCGACGCCCACGGGAACAAGTTTCACAACATCCGTGGCGCGTGATCTACCGCTGCCTCCACAGTGCTGGATTACAGGCAGCCACGTGCAACGTGGCCCCACCCCCACCCCCCCCGGCCACACTGCTCTCCCTGAACACCGTTCACTCACAGCTTCGCGTTGGGTCTCCGGTTTGGTGGTTCCTTGCTGGCGAGAATTTCCAGCCGCTCGCAGCTGCTGAAGATCTGCTCGATGTGCTCCTGGATTTCTTTCTCCACCACTGACAGAGGGAGACAGATCATCTTTGTCTCCGTGGACCAGCATACCCAGCCACACGTTTCGGAGGGGGTGAAGTTGTAACACAGTCGCTCGTTTTGAGAAACAAAACTTCATCGTGCATTAATAAAAGTTTACATCGTATAACGTAACATGTGGGAAGATAGTGGCGAAGTGGGGAAGGCCTTCATCTGGCAGTGGATTGCCTGGAGCCCTGGTTTAGGGTTGATACTGGAGATCAACAGTAGAGTTTTTTTTTTTTACTGAAGGCAAGGTTTTCGCTAAGATGTAGCCAGGGTTAGGCCTGCGATGGATGGAGCCAGTGTTGGGAGTTGAGACCGGCGCCACGGAGGGCTTGATTGATGTTGAGACTGGACCTAGGGTTATTTCTGAGATGGAGCCAGGGTTATTGTTGAGGAATGACTCACGGTGCAGGGACTGCTTGTCACTTGTCTCCAGGCGGCTCATGTGTCCCTGCACCTCATGGATCCTCCTGGAGACAGAGCCAACGGGGACACAGGAAGACAGTGAGACAAGCGGAGACACAGGAAGCCAGGGGGAGAGACAGAGGGAAAGTAAGACAGAGGGATACAGAGGGGGCGAGGCACAGAGGCGAGACATGGTATCATGTGAGTTGACAGGAACCTAGCCGCATCACAAACAACAACTGAGAGAGTAACATCAACTCACGAGTAGTCCTGTGCAGCACAGTGACACCACCGTGCACCCAGCAAGCTCCGTCACAATCAAAATCAGTAGTCAAGTATGACATGCTTATCACGGCGCACCGAGGCATTACGATAGCGCAGCCAGCGCCAGCATGTCACAGTGGCCTAATCGTGGCACATAACAGCACGCGTCAGCACATCGAGAAGACTGCGGCAAAGTCCACTGCAGGAGAGCAGAGTGCGGGCCAGCGTGGTGGCAGCAGAGGGCAAAGGTCACGGGGCACGACTCACTTGTTGGTCTGGTGGTAGAGGGCATCCATGGTGGAGAGCGAATCCGGACCCCGTGGGGGTCACAACTCAGCGTGGACAGATCCTGTGCCAGAGATGAGAAGATGGATAACCCCCGTGACAAGGATTCTAGATAGGTCACAGATAAATCGGGGGAAAGGTGACGCAAATATCCCACAACCGAGATCTTAGGTCAGCTGATTTTGGTCTAGTCCATCATTTCAAAGACAAGGCTGCGATGTTCTATGGGAGACACGGAGCCTTCTGCAGTCTGGTTCCGTGATTGTGGAATCTCCTTCCTCGGTCCATTAGGGAATTCCGAGTCCTTTAGAATCGCTGTCTTAAAATTCAGCTATTTATACTGCAGGCTTTCCACGTAATTTAATATTTCAAAACCAATTGTGTTTGTTCGATTGTTTAACTCTGCCTTTATTATTATTTGGCGTTAATCATAGTTCTTCATTTTATTGGAATTTCGAGAGTGGTCATTGATATTGTTATTTCGCTTAGATTTTACCCATATTTGTGAGTGTAGTTTTATTTTCACATACAGCGCTTTGAGACACTTCAATATGAAAGGCGCTTTATAAAACAGATATTATTATAGCTCCTGAGATAAGAGCAATCAGGCGAATAGACCCAGAGACAATGTTTGTACATCGCAGAGATCTGAAGACCGTAATTGGTGGGATGAGACAAATGGACACCCAACGAGATCCGAGGATATGGGACAAGATACCTCAAGACAAAGACCAGGGGCGGAGCCACAGGGGGGGCTGGGGGGGGCTCAGCCTCCCTCTGAAATTTTGGGAAAGTCAGTAATCGGGATAACCGGATATCCGGCTGCTGCAAAATGCTGCAGGCTGCTACCTTGTGCTGCCCTGCAGGCTGCCACCTTGTGCTGCCCTGCAGGCTGCTTGAGCGGCAGCCTTTCGAACTTATCGAACTTATTAGCCACACGAGGAGAGAAACACGAGGAGAGAGACAAGGAGAGAGAGACACGAGGAGAGAGAGACACAAGGGGAGAGACACAAGGAGAGAGACGTGATCCAAGATCCAGCCCGTCTCGTGCCGGGACAAGACTCTTGGGGCAAAAGACGGAGAGATCTCAAACCGGGAGACACGGATCCTCAGACGGGAGACGCCTGGGAGAGGGGGCAAAAGACAGAGGCACGAGACGGGAGACTCAATAACAGAGATCAGGCGACCAGAAATTAAGAGACAGGGAGACACCTGGGGCGGGAAACACAACTTCTGGGACAGCGAGACCTTTGAGGACAATACCAGCAGAGAGCGGGAGACAGGGAGAGAGCAGAAGACACAGGGAGACAGATCTGGAGACACAGGGAGACAGATCTGGAGACACAGGGAGCTAGATCTGGAGACACAGGGAGACAGCAGGAGACACAGGGAGACATCTGGAGACACAGGGAGACACAGGGAGACACAGGGAGACAGATCTGGAGACACAGGGAGACACATCTGGAGGCAGTAGCGGACACCGGGCGAGAGACAGCAGGAGACACAGGGAGACAGATCTGGAGACACAGGGAGACAGATCTGGAGACACAGGGAGACAGATCTGGAGACACAGGGAGACAGATCTGGAGACACAGGGAGACACAGGGAGACAGATCTGGAGACACAGGGAGACAGATCTGGAGACACAGGGAGACACAGGGAGACAGATCTGGAGACACAGGGAGACACAGGGAGACAGATCTGGAGACAGCAGGAGACAGATCTGGAGACACAGGGAGAGACATCTAGAGACAGCAGGAGACATCTGGAGACACAGGGAGAGACAGATCTGGAGACACAAGGAGACAGCAAGAGACATCTGGAGACACAGGCAGACAGATCTGGAGACACAGGGAGAGACAGATCTGGAGACACAAGGAGACAGCAAGAGACATCTGGAGACACAGGCAGATAGATCTGGAGACACAGGGAGACACAGGGAGACAGATCTGGAGACACAGGGAGACAGGGAGACACAGGCAGACAGATCTGGAGACAGCAGGGAGACAGATCTGGAGATAATACCGGGTGGCAGGTCTGAAGACAGCACCCGGAGGACACCAGGCGACCAATCCTTGGAGACAGGAGACGAGAGACGACGAGAGAGAGACGTCTTGAGACAGACGATGAGCGTGGAGACGGACGCTCAGGAAGAACCCCCCCACGTCACCACCAGGCACCCCCCTCAGCCCCTCCCCCACCGCCGCCACCACCACCGCGATGGAGGCCGCCGCCTCTGGTGCCTCTCGCGCCACCATCTTGGTTAGGGATGGAGGTGGGGGGCCGAGGTGGTGGCGGAACCGGAAGCTCGACTGGCGCGCGCGCGTGCACATGGCCTGGCACAAGCGTCGTGGTGACGTCACCGCCACTTAGTGGCGAATGCGTTACGAACCTGGCCACCCGGGTTCGATTCCCGCTCACGGCCAACACCGCTGACGAATTCATCTGAACCGATCCTGGGCCTCCCCTAGGTCGACTCAGCCTCAAATGAGTAGTACCTGGTGCGGTGTGTAGTAAACATCGCCACTGGGGGAGACAAAGGCGGCCGGGCGTGGTTGCTGGCCACCCACCCCCTCGTGTGCCGTCCCGACCTTCATAGGTGCTGCTCGCTAACAGCACTTGCCCCTACAGTCTGTTAAGGCTACACGGGGGATCTTTGTCTGTGTGTGCGTCCGTGCGCTGTAACGGAGGATTAAATAAAATTGAATCCGCGATAGAATAAAGGCTAACTTATTTGTAGTAGAGCTTTCGCGCCCGATATAATATAGTTTTTTTTTTAGGTTCGTTCACGTAAATATAAATGTATCGTTATACCCGCCACCCATCCGACACGCGATGGAACCCAAAAAAAACCCCTATATTATAGAGCAGGGGTCGGGAACCTTTTTGACTAAGAGAGCCATGAAAGCAAAAAATTTGGAAATTTATTTCAGTGAGAGCCATATAATATATTTTAAAAGTGAATTCAACTAAATGTCAGTATAATAAGCCTCTGAATTTATTCTTTTAAATAATGTTATAACACTCACCATTAATGCGACTTCTGGTGCTGCATGGATTTGCTGATGTCTTTGTAGTCGGGTTGGTACTTGGTGAGGTTAAGCTTCATGCAAGCGTTGAGGCTTTCATCCGTTAAACGTGATCGTAGGTTGGACTTGATGTTTTTAAGATGTGAGAATGACTGCTCACATGCATACGTAGATCCAAACATGGTCAATACAGCAATACTCACACGCTGCAGTGTGTGGTATGTGACAGGAAGCGCGTTCCAAGTTTTGAGAATCAGCTGGTCTTCGGGTTGGAGTTTTTTCATTTCTGTCCACATGTGCTTGCTCGCCAACTCCGCTTTCTGTCGTGTGATTCTTTCCAAATCTTCATTCAGTGACTTGAACTTATTCACCCACATGTCTGAGGCCTTCAGGTCAGCCACTTCTGCTTCAAAATCTCTGACGGAGACACCAGGGATGTAATTCAGGTCGGCTGTGTTCAGTGAACACTCGTTTGGATGGGTGATGAACTTAAAAAGACGAGTGTGCTCACGAAATTCTCCAAAGCGTGCTTTGAAGGACTGTAGGAGACTGGATGTGCAGCCAGCTAGCTGGTGGAGATCAAGGTTTTGAATGGGCTCACTTGCTGTGCATGCATCTTTAAATTGGCTCAGTTTTTCAAAATGTAGTAAACGACCTGTTTCAAGATCCGTGATGAAAAGCTCCAGCTTGTTTTCAAAAGCAAATACAGCTTGTTGAAGGGATAACACTGTATTTCCAATGCCTTGCATTTTCACGTTGAGCTGGTTCAGATGTTCAGTCAGATCTACGAGATAGTAAAACTTGAGGAGCCACTCGGTGTCGGCTAGCTCAGGATGCCCGACGCCTTTCATTTCAAGGAAAGTCCGGATTTCGTTCAGGCAAGCCGCAAAACGGCTAAGCACCTTCCCTCTTGACAACCAACGCACATTGCTGTGCAAAAGCAGACCAGGATAGTTATTTACAACTTCATCCAGCAGTGTTTTAAACTGGCGATCATTTAAGGCTCGGGCAACAATAAAGTTGATCACACGAATGACCAGCGACATCACTTCGCCAAACTGCCTGTCACACATCTGAGCACAAAGTGCCTCCTGGTGTATAATGCAATGGAAACTTAGGATGGGTCTATTTTCATGTTCACGGAGAAGCGCCACAAATCCTTTGTTTTTCCCCACCATACACGGAGCACCATCAGTACACACTGAGAGAAGTTTATCCATAGGTAGACTTTTTTCTTGAGCAAACTCCATGAAAGACTTGAATAAATCCTCACCTCTTGTGGACCCTTTTAATGGCAGAACAGCAAGACTTTCTTCGCGCAGTGTGTCACCAACAGCATATCTTGCAATCACGCTGAACTGCGACAAATGGCTCACGTCTGTTGACTCATCCAAAGCCAGAGAAAAGAACGGCGCTGCATTTATGTCCTTCACTTGCGTTTCCTCCACTTTGTTTGCCATCACGATGGTACGATCATGAACAGTTCTTGCCGACAGAGGCATGTCTTGTATCCGTTTGATTATCTTGTCTTTGTTCGGAAGATCATCAAAAAGTTCATTGGCTATATCCAGCATGAACGTTTTAGCATACTCGCCATCTGTGAATGGTTTTCCGTTCCTCACTATTGCTAAAGAACCAGCAAAGCTAGCCGAATTATAGTCACCTTGCCGGGTCCATACGCGGAGTTGCTGCTGGCTAGCTTGCACCCTGCTCAGAAGCTCTTGGCACGCTTTCTTTCTGCTGTCTCCCGCAGGGTATTTTGATGCAAAGGTAGCGTGGCGCGTGTCGAAGTGCCGCTTTACATTCGACCGTTTCAACGATGTAATTTTGTCATTGCAAATTAGACACACCGCAGAACCCGCTCTCTCCACAAAGGCGAATTCTTCGGTCCATTCGTCCTGAAATGTACGATACTCGTCGTCTTTTTTTCTTTTCGCCATCTTCTTCGTCGAAGGGTTAGCTTTGAGCTAATGACCGAGCAGACGCAGTCTCAGGCTGATTCAAAAGGGGGCGTTTACCTGTTTTACCCAGCAACGGCAAACGTAGGCCAGTATCATCCAATTAAAATAATGGACAATTGCTCCTGCAGCCCTGAACAGGACATGCGCAGTGAAAAATCGATGGATGGATTAAAACAAGTGAGAATATTTTGTTTTATCTGCGAGCCATATGCAATCATCAAAAGAGCCACATCTGGCTCGCGAGCCATAGGTTCCCGACCCCTGTTATAGAGGATAATTAAACTTGACTACAGGAATTGAAAGAATAGAATAATTTATGTTAATGATTTAGGCCCATATATGGTCCGTTGGTTTTGCCCGTATGTCAGGATTCAATGCTCCATTAAACGGGAATCGAGCGTGAATTCTGGATCTAAAGAGATTATATTCTTGGTTCTTTCGGTAATAAATTGAAAATAATAAATCCACTGGGTTTTTTGCTTTGATTATTGTCAATTAATTTTTTTTATTTTATTATCTGTTATTTTTATTTTCCATCTACGTGACTTTACCGAAAGAACCAAGAATATTCATTCCTGCAGTCACGAAAGTTTTAAGTCAAAATTTCAAGAGACGATTTGTGGATGGGAAAAGTCTCCCCCCACATTGACGCCGGTTGGCCTCTCTCTGCATTAACATAATGTGCAGGTCATTACATAATGTGTAGAGTACATTAACATAATTCGCCAATAATTGACCTGTACCGGCTATTAACATAATACAGCGTTCATGAAAAAAAATGTATCGTTCAATTTTTTATTCAAAGCTTTCGTGACTGCAGGGATTCATATTCTTGGTTTCTTTCGGTAAAGTCACCACGTAGAAGGGAAACAATAAAATAATAAAAATATAAAACAATAAAATTCTCACGACGTTTCGACTAAAACACAAGCAATCATCATCAGGTGTGAAAACCACAACATAATCGCCACTTTTTTGAAATTTTCTTGTTGTGGTTTTCACACCTGATGATGATTGCTTGTGTTGCAGTCGAAACGTCGTGATAATTTTATTGTTTTATATTTTTATTATTTTATTGTTTCCCTTCTACGTGACTTTAACGAAAGAACCAAGAATATCATGTATCGTTCATTAACATACTACATAGTTTAACGTAATGCTTAATTCCTGAACGGACTATTTTGTTAATTAACATAACGCTGCCATCATTAACATAACGCATCGGTCATTAACATAACGCATCGGTCATTAACATAACACTGTGGTCATTAACATAACGCTGCGGTCATTAACATAACGCGTCGTTCATTAACATAACGCTTCGGGTCATTAACATAACGCTTCGGTCATTAACATAACGCTGTGGTCATTAACATAACGTACCGTTCATTCTGTCGCAGGATTCACGTTATCCTCTTCCAGCGCGTGGCGGCGTTGCCGTTCCGGTTTCGCCCCCCCTCACCCCCCCCTTACCCCCCCCTTACCCCCCCTCACCCCATCCCCCTCACTCACCCCACCCCCCCTCACTCCACCCCCCTCACCAAGATGGTCGCGCGCAGCCTCACGGTGGTGCCCGCGCAGACCGATCGCATGGGCGAGGCGCCGCCGCTGTCCTCGTCACCCGCGGTGACGTCTCCGTTGTTAGGAGGTGGTGGGGGGTGGTCACCACCTCGTTTTGTTGACCTCGCGATCAGTACCTCGTTTTGTTGATCTCGCGATCAGCACCTCGTTTTGTTGATCTCGCGATCAGCACCTCGTTTTGTTGATCTCGCGATCACCACCTCGTTTTGTTGACGATCTCGCGATCACCACCTCGTTTTGTTGACGATCTCGCGATCACCACCTCGTTTTGTTACGATCTCGTGATCAGTACCTCGTTTTGTCGATCTCGCGATCAGCACTTCGTTTTGTTGATCTCGCGATCAGCACCTCGTTTTGTTGATCTCGCGATCACCACCTCGTTTTGTTGATCTCGCGATCAGTACCTCGTTTTGTTGATCTCGCGATCAGCACCTCGTTTTGTTGACCTCGCGATCAGTACCTCGTTTTGTTGATCTCGCGATCACCACCTCGTTTTGTCGATTTCGCGATCAGCACCTCGTTTTGTTGACGATCTCGCGATCAGTACCTCGTTTTGTCGATCTCACGATCACCACCTCGTTTTGTTGATCTCGCGATCAGTACCTCGT